CCATAATGTTGAATTCCAATATTGCATGATCACTTCCTCCGAAGGTTCCTATGGCTTCAACACCTTCTATCATTTCATCTCTGTTAGTGAGAATTAGATCCAAAATGGCTAATCCCCTAGTTCCCTTTTCTACTTTTTGAGAGACAAAGTTTTCTGCTAGGTTTGTCAGGAATCTTTTTGATCTTCCACTTGGTGCAGAGTTTGTCTCCCAGTTGATGTCAGGGTAGTTAAAGTCCCCCATTACTATTGTGATGTGCTTCCTACATACCTTAGTTAGCTGACTAGCAAAAAGTTCATCTATTTCCTGTGTTTGGTTGGGTGGCCTATAATATACACCTATGGCAATGTCATTCCCCCCCCCTTTTTTTTTTATATTGACCCATATGCATTCAGGACAGTTTTCATCATTGTTGTGCTCTATTTCTGTAAAGATTTAGTTATTTCTTATATAGAGAGCAACTCTACCTCCTCTTTTATTTGGTCTGTTTCTTTTAAATAATTTAAATCCCTCTAGCTGTGTCTTCTGAGATATGGACTGAAAGCATTTTGGCCTCAGGAAATAAAGGAAAGAAGGCAAAGAAATTCAGCATGGATATTACAGTTCCAGAATGTGAAATGTAGAGTAGTAGAAATGTAGTGGCTAGCTAGCTCAGGAAGGGAAACTATTAACCACTGAAATGATATGCTGACAATATCCTGGGCACCCAACTTCCACAATACATGGAATTAGCAGTCTGTTAAATGAAGTTTGCAGTCATACAAATTCAGACTCTACATTATGACAGCTATATTGCAGAAAGAATGAGACAAAGGAGAAACAGGAAAGCAGTATCACAGTCTTTGGATGAATCCCAAGATTTTTCAATTATTGTGTCAAAAGTATGCCAAGGAAGGACAAGACTGAAGGAGATCCAGTTTCCTAACAAGCATATGTGAATATGAACTTTGAAGTTTTTAACTGGATTCTGAATTAACAGCCTCAGAAGAATGATTACTGTATTATGATATGCAACAGTAGAAGTTCATTTGCATCCCCATAAATTATGCAGGAGATATGTATGGGTATGATTTGCTGGATTAATATGAAATCTTCCCTGAGAAATTGCAGATGAAATGTTTAATTTATTTCTATTCTGTTGTTGTAATAACTTCCGCTGTGTTAGGAATGTCAGTTAATGCAATCGTATGCACATTCATTACAAAAGGCCCATTAAACATAGTGGAATTTATTTTTTGGGGGAAAAAACACGCATGGATTGTTTGTAAATTAAACATCCCCCCCCCCTTTGTCTTCCACTTTCTTTTTTTTCCCCTATAGCAGAATTTTGTGGCTTGGATATTATTTCCCATCAAGCTACATTATTTCGTCTGTTTCTGATAGTGTCAACATATTAGACTCTGTTTTAACTCTGTTATGTAACCCTGTATATTGATGAGCAGTATACAGGTAGTGCTCAAGTTACAACAGTTTGTTTAGTGACTGTTCAAGTTACAGCAGCACTGAAAAATATGACTTATGACCATTTTTCATAGTCATGACTTTTCCAGCATCCTCATGATCATTTGATCAAATTTCAGATGCTTGGCAACAGTTTCATATTTATGACCATTGCTGTATCCCACGATCATGTGATCCCCTTTCAGAGTCTTCTGACGAGCAAAGTCAGTGGGGAAGCCAGATTCATTAAACAACTGATTACTAACTTATCAACTGCAGTGATTTACTTAGCAACTGTGCCAAGAAAGGTCGTAAAATGGGGCAAAACTCACTTAACAATTGTCTCACTTAGCAGAAATTTTGGGCTCAACTGTGGTCATAAGTTGAGGACTACCTGTACAAAGAAATAAAAACAAAAGCGATTGTAAATGCTTAAGTCAGTGTTTCTCAACCTTGACAATTTTAAGGCATGTGGACTTCAACTCCCAGAATTCCACAGCCAGCAATGCTGGCTGTGGAATTCTGGGAGTTGAAGTCCACATGCCTTAAAATTGTCGAGGTTGAGAAACACTGGCTTAAGTAGACAGTACTTCGCATGGGCACACAACATCTAGATCAGGGGTCAGCAACCTGCAACAGTGAAAGAGCCACTTGGATCCATTTCCCTCACAAAAAAAAAAAACCTGGGAGCCGCAAAATGTGCACGCGCATGTGCGCGCGTGCGCATGCGCACAGAACACGGGGCTTGATTGAAGAGTGGAGCTTAAGGCGAAACGTGCGCCGGCCCTGCCCCCCATCCAGCTCTGGTATGAACGGCTCTGCAGTCCTGGCTTCTCCTCCCTTCGGAAAAGACTGCTCTCCCCTCACCCCGCGCTCTCCCTCTGTGGGACTTTCTTCTTGCTGCCTTTTGGCGCGAAGTTTCCAAGGGAGCGGAGGAGGAAGCCGACAGGGAGAAAGAGCTGCTGCGGTGAATCTTCTGAGGCAGCAGTAGACGGTCGCTCGGGCTCGCCTATCTCAGCCTGCTGCAGGAGGCTGGAGTTGAGGCTTCTGGTTTGCTCTGGGACGGGTGCTTGGAAAAGGAAGGATGGGAAGCGGAAAGTGGGAGAAAGGACGCCTTCCAGCTCTCTGGGGTTCTTTCGCTGGGAGGGCGAGGAAGCAGCAGTTCTGCTCCGTGGGAGGTGGGAGCAGGCAGCCTCTCCTTCAAACTTTGCCAAGTGACTCCAGGAGCGAAGCGAGCTACGAGTCCTCGGAATGTCAACTTTGCGAAAGAGGGAGGCGATGGTGGGATTAAAATAAAATGGGGGGGAGGTTGAGGAAACCCAGCAGATGCTTACATCAGAGGGCCAGCAAGAAAGGCAGGGAGAGGAAGAAAGCTTTTGGGGCTTGTGCACAGACATAGCGGACTCTTTCTCGTCTCCTGCCCTTGCTGCATCTCCTGTGGAGATCATTTGCAGCTCTCTGTGTCTCTGCCACTCAAAGCCATCCTGCAGCTTGATTCTTGAAGCGATTTCAATCAGCCCCATTCATTGCCAAGAATCCCCATGGAAGTCAATGGAGGTCTGCGGCGACTCAAAAAGCCAGCTGCAGCACCTCCAAGTCCGTTGATTTTACCGGCTCAGTGGCCCGGGGACGGGCAGGAACCGATGCCCCCACTGCCCGCCGGGCTTGCCACCCGGCCCGGAGAAACACAAGGCCGGCTCAGCGGCCTGGGGATGGCCAAAACTCAATGCTCCTGCCGGCTGCCACTGCCGCCCAGCCCGGGAAGACGCGAGGCTGGCTCAGCGGCCCGGGGATGGCCAAAACCCAATGCCCCTGCCGGCAGCCACTGCCGCCCAGCCCGGGAAGACGCGAGGCTGGCTCAGCGGCCCGGGGAGGGCCAAAACCCAATGCCCCTGCCAGCCGCCACTGCCGCCCAGCCCGGGGAGACGCGAGGCAGGCTCAGCGGCCCGGAGAGGGGCAGGAACCGATGCCCCCACGGCTGCTGCTCCCGCCAGGCCTACCGCCCGGTCCGGGGAAGGGCAGGAACCAATGCCCCTGCCAGCCGCTGGCCCCGCCAGGCCTGCTGCCCAGCCCAGGGAGATACGAGGCCGGCTCGGTTGCCCCTCCACCTGGTGCAGGTAAGCCCCCTCCCTCCTCCCCACTCACCCTCCATCTCCGGCTCTGCTCCTACTTGACCCACTAGGGCCGCAGCTTGCGGGAGGGCTGGCCCTTTCAATGGAGGCTCTGCTGGGCCGCTCCTAGCATGGATCCTGGGGCTTCCCCATGCAACTCTCTGGTCACATGCACCTCGGACTGGGCCAGCCCCGGAAAGGCCCTTCCTGGCCACCCTTCTCCCAGGGGGCAGGGCACCCGGCTGCAGGGCCAATCAGGAGCTCTGCGAGGGGGCAAATCTGCATGAGAGAGAGAGAGAAGGGAAGTACAAGTGCCTCTCTGTCTCTGTCTCTCTATGAAAATGGCGGAGGAGGCTCCGGAGCCGCAGGAGGTGGCTCAAAGAGCCGCATGCGGCTCCAGAGCTGTGGGTTGCCGACCCGTGATCTAGATGGTTATATTGGTTTTGAGAAGCCATTTTCATCTAATGATTTACTTGATTAAAATGATGTTTTAAGTTGGATTCCCAATGTTTATCTCTCTCCCCTTGTGTTCATTTGGAACAATAGATTTGCCTTTAATGAAGTGTTTAGTGAAAAGTAGAGCATAAAAACTGGTAAAAAAAAATGCTAACAATGCAGCTTTTTGCATAATCAACATTGCCAGCTGAGCAATCTGACCCACAGTCAAATACTTACACTTTTTCTCTTCTTTTTTGCTCTCACTGTCTGATGTACCAATAGGCAGCCTTTTGACAGCCAGTCTTTAAAGATCCATCTGAGGGCTGCAATAAGTGGGTCATGAGGGCTGCAATAAGTGGGTCACTGACCTGTGCTGTCATCAGAATGGATGGATATAAATTAATTTGAGGGTCCATCAAGGAATAGTCGTGTGGGTTATTTTTATATTTTGCATGCGTTAACTCAATCAAAGCCTATACAATATGGGAGTACTTTTTACTGTTGAAATATGATAGTAAATTGCATTTTTACTTTTTGATAATTTGTCACCAAAATTTAGTAATAAGACCTATGGGAGTTCTGGAAAGATTATAGGCTTGCAGTCATCAATGTAATAATGCTTCCCTTTTACATTTCTTTTTTAACTGTAAATTTATTTTATCACCTTTACAAATTTTATCATCTTTACAAATCCAATTGAAATCAGTAGAATCGAAATTTCATGTTTCAGTTCCCCTTGGACTAATTTGGCTATTCCTTAATCGTCAATAGATGATATTTTTTTTCTTTCCTGTGCTAAAATACATTATAGTTATTATTTATCATTCTGATTTATAACTCATTCATAATTTCTATGGGAAGTTATAAATGTTATTTAACAGGAGAATATAACAATTCCAATATTTTGAGAGTGTTTTGTTGCCTGAACATTTTTCCCTTTGCTTAAACTATACATTGTTTGCAAGTCATGGGATGCTTGATAGAGAGAAAAACTGGTCTTTTCTTTATTTCAGATCCGGACATGGATTCTTACAGTGGGCTATACAACTGCATTTGGGGCAATGTTTGCAAAAACATGGAGAGTCCACGCAATCTTCAAAAATGTAAAAATGAAAAAAAAGGTCAGTTTTTTTAAAAAAATTAGTTCTATTCGCTCATGTCTGAGTTGCTTCTACTTTTTTTCTCTGACTGCTTAATTAAAAAATATTGAGGGAAATCTGTATAGATTACTTGCTTTAACATGTTTCCTATTTTCCATAGCTGCTTACACTCTTGTATCTTATACTGGAGACTCATACAAAGCCCTCTATAATGTCATAAATTGACATTTGGCTTGAGTCAGGTTTAAAAGCCCTGAGATGGATGGGCTTTAATAATAATAATAATAATAATAATAATAATAATAATAATAATAATAATGTTGGAAGGGATCTTGGAGGTCATCAAGTCCAACTCCCTGCTCAGGTAGGAAACCCTACACCATTTCAGACAAATGGCTGTCCAGTCTTTTCTTAAAGACTTCCAGTGTTGGAGCATTCACCGCTTCTGGAGGCAGATTGTTCCATTGATTAATTGTTCTAACTGTCAGGAAGTTTCTCCTTAGTTCTAGGTTGCTTCTCTCCTTGATCAGTTTCCATCCATTGCTTCTTGTCCTGCCTTCATGCGCCTTGGAGAATAGCTTGACTCCTTCTTCTTTGTGGCAAACCCTGAGATATTGGAACACTGCTATCATATCCCCCCTCGTCCTTCTCTTTGTTAAACTAGACGTACCCAATTCCAGCAACCGTTCCTTATATGTTTTAGCCTCCAGTCCCCTAATCATCTTTGTTGCTCTTCTCTGTACTCTTTCTATAGTCTCAGCATCTTTTTCACATCGTGGTGACCAAAACTGGATGCAGTATTCCAAGTGTGGCCTTACCAAGGCATTGTAAAGTGGTATTAATACTTCACGTGATCTTGATTCTATCCCTCTGTTAATGCAGCCCAGCACTGTGTTGGCTTTTTTGGCTTGAATTGTGAAAACAATCCAACTGAAGAAAAAGTTCTTAAATATTAAGCCAGAAGTCTCTGCAATTGAAATTGGTTTTCATGGTTAATATTACCATTTTGTTCTTATGGCCCGAAAGGAAGAATTACTTGACTTACAGATATTATTACAAAATCTTGGCTGAGGAAACTCTCATAAACATTCCTGAGTTTTAGCATTTGCATTTTTTAAAATCCTTGATGAAGTAAGATTCGTTAATTCAAGAGACTACGCAAATCCCTAGGTATAGGATGGACAGCTTCTATTGTGTAGTATCGTAAGTAATATTATAAGGTAGATACATTGAGGCTGCGTATGGCGTGCAATTTTGGATGTTAGATAACATATTCTGCCAAAATGGGTGTAATTTATGATTGAAGCTGTTTAGCTTGGACCTGGGCATATTGCCACTGTGCTTATTTTTTCTTATCTAGCTATCAATCTAGACTGATAGAAGTTGTGATTTATGATTGCCAGGGTCCATTGTCTTCTATTTCATTGGCTGGCTCTTCCTTTGTAATCTGTATGTCACTGGCCTTTTCTCAAAAACAGATTTGGCAAATGCAGGTTAGGGAATTATATATTCTATGTTGTAATCTGTATGGAAGAAACAATGAACTATTCGAAATAATAGAGAATAGAATATTTCATGGCTTTCCTATACTATTTATAGTTCCATATTTTGTGAATTAAGTGCAAACTGTGTGGGTGGCATGGAATGTTCTATCTTCTGTTTCTTAGGCTAACAATTTTCTCTGTTGTCCTTCACATATGAAGTTTTTGGTTTTAATTAGATAAAAATCATCAACTCCCAGGATTCTTTTAAAAATTATATAGGAACTACTGCACAGGGAAAGACTGAATTAAACAGTATAGTAGACCATGATGTAGGTAGTTGATATGGTTAATGTGATATGTGTGTCCAGATATTGTAGTTTATATACCAAGATTTGTGATATGACCTGATGCAGAAATTCAACCACTTTGATAAGCAAACTGTAGCTTAATGCAATGTGTTACTGCTATATTGCAGATAGACATAAATTAAAAAATGCTGGTGCAACTAAACAGAAGTTGATTGCTATTTGTTTATTTGGAAGATATGATCACAAAACCTGCATGGTTGATTGTGATGTCAGGCAGCGATCATCAGCAAAAATAGTGGAATTTCAAATTACAAGTAAAACCAATGATATCAAGAAAACGAAAGCAAAAGTGACATGCTAATTACAGGGGTTCTCAACCTTGGCAACTTTAAGACTTGTGGACTTCAGCTCCCAGAATTCCTCAGCCAGCAAGTCCACAAGTCTTAAAGTTGCCAAGGTTGAGAACCCCTGTGCTAGTAGCATACTGTTGGCCATCATAAGCTTTACTTCCCAAAGATGAACTCTTCTACTATCACACCCAATGCCTGGAGAAAGGCTCACATTTTAAAAGCTTCCCTAAAGGTGAACAGGATCAAGGCCAGTGAAATCTCGAGGGGGAGGGATTATTAAAAAGGACATCTGCTGCAACTAAGATAGCATAACCTCCTAGATATAATACCTTCATTGCTTCAAGGCAGGGATCTGGTGCATGCTCATCCTGATAGAATATGTGGGAAATAATCAGGAAACAGCCTGCTTCTAATCTATAGAGGGCTTCATATTAATCAGGACATTGAATTGCCCCTAAAGAGCAATTGGAAGCTAATATAGCTGGTAAAGTATGATATGTAGGTAAGTATATATACCATTACATTCTGAACTATTAGCAGCTTCCAGAGAGTTTTCAAGGATTGACTCATATGGAGGACATTGCAGTGTGGATATTGAGGTACTACATGCAGAGCCTTCTGATAGGTAGGAATGGGTAAAATTGCTACAAAAGCTGGAGTTGTACAAGGACTCTCTTGGCCATAGCTGTCACAGGTCCTCAAATAGGAGCTTTGAGTTCAGGAGAACATTATAGGGGAAATTATTAAGAAGGTGACCTGACAATAGTTCCAGAAGATCCTGGAAGAAACTGTTATTTGAACTTGGCTCAGTTTCATTTTGATTTTTGACCAGAGTCCAGTGTAGAGATAGCACTGGACATGCTTACTAACGATCTTTGGTAGAACAATATCAGCTGGAACTGATAGGGAGGAAAGAGAAGAACTACATTAACACCATGTCTCCCACTCCCTTTTCCAACATCCTGAGCTGGTTTAGATGGATACCTTAATTGATAGTATTGAAAGCTGCTGAGAGCTCAGGGAGACAAGAATAAATGCACTCTCCCCACTGAGAACTCATTACAAGTGCAACTAATGCTTGATGCCATGTTCAGTCTGAAACCAAATTGACAGTGACCCCAGAATATATTGCTGAATATGTAAAACAGGCACATTAAACCTCCAAGATACGTAAAATAAGAGCATTGACCTCACTCCAAACCACAAAAAAATCACTGGCAATGTCATTGTGTCAACTGAATATTCTCGGAGGGTACTTTTTAAAAAGTATTTGTTTTTAAATATCCAGACCTATTTTAAATAAACTTTGGTTACCACTTATGCTTAGATATCCTTCCAATCAGATGGTTGCAGGTTTCTAAAGCCTTTTTTGGAGACCATTTTGCTTCACATCAGAGCTGTTTTATTTCTAGGCTTTACATTTATAGATATGGATTTATTTATTAGAACTGTACTAATACACATTGTGAGAATCAGTTGGTGTAGTAGTTAAGGCGTAAGGCTAGAAACCAGGAGACTGTGAGTTCTAGTCCTGCCTTAAGCATAGAATCAGCTCAGTGACTTTGAGCTAGTCACATGCTCTCAGTCCTAGGAAGGAGGCAAAGGCTAACTACTTCTGAAAAACCTTGCCAAGAAAACTGCAGGGATTTGTCCAAACATTGAATGGAAGAAAACACATGCACACACAGACATACACCATTTTGACTTTAAAAAAATATGATGATGATCTAACAGATTGCCACAAACTATGGAAGGGTTACAATGGACAAGTCTATATTGTATTTGCTTTCTCCAAGATACTGGGTTCTGAGATTTAAGAAATGTGATACAAAGCTGAACCACCATTAGATTAGATCAGCGGTTCTCAACCTATGGGTCGCGACCTCATTTGGGGTCGATCGACCATTTCACGGGGGTCGCCAAACAAGGCGATCCGCCATTTTTCCCCCTCAGGGGGCGGTGCCGCACATGCATGCCGCGCATGGGGGCGCCGCTGCGCATGTGCGCCGTGCATGGGGTGCCGCCGCGCATGCGCGGCACGTTTGTGTGATGGGGGTCGCCGTCACACAAACGTTGAGAACCACTGGATTAGATAGAGCAGCCTGGCTGTGAACAGTATTTTGATCCACAATCTTAAACTATCTAATTTTTATGTAGCATAACAGCTTTAGCAGATCAAATATAATTTATCTTTTGGATTCTTCATTTCTTTGCATTTCGTAATGTGTTTTGGCTCAAAAGTTGTTTGCAATAATGTATGCAAAACATGTACAAAATGGGTATATGGGAAAAACTTTGTATAATTTCTTGCATTTTTTGAAAAATAGGATGATGGCACAGAAATTTGATCAAATAAATTTTTAATTAAGTATGTGTGAAACTTAAATGGATTTAGACGTATATCCATACTTGGAAACTGAACATTTCCCAACATAAAGTGTTCAGAATATAGCTTAGACAGTAATAGCAGTTCAGTTACAGTAAACACCAGAAATATATTTCTATTAATTATATTCTTGTCGAATCTTAACAGTATAGAATGGCAACAGTAAGCTGCTGGAAGGTAGGGAATAAATCTGAAAAATAAGCAAATATTTTGTGACTGTTCTTCTCATCTCACCAAGCTGTCTATAGAGAGGTCTCAAGTTTACTGGAGCCTATTTGTACTATGCATGTAGCCTTTCTAAGCAATGCTGAGAATGATGTACTGTGGAGATAGGCATGAAGATCTCTAAAGAACTACAGTTAGTCCTCTCTAACTGAGACCAGAATTTCCACTGCTAAGCAAAGTAGTTGTTAGGTGAAACATGTGACCACCCTGCTTAATGACAACAGTTATGATAGTCCCTGTTGCAGTCGTTAGGCCAGGACTTCTTGCTTCTCCTGTCCTCCCATTCTCACCTTTGCTTCAACTGCCTGCACTGGCCTAACTCCCCGCAGCTACTGTCCCTTTGCAGGACCCTCACATGGCCTCATCGAATCCTTGTAGATATACGGAGGCCTTGCAAGGCTTTGAGAAGTTGCATCTCATCGGCGGTCGGAGTTTGCAAACTAGTCTCCTTTTACTGTAGATTAATGTTAGATTTCTTCTTAATTCATCCTGATTTATAAATACGTATCGGGGGAGGGTTGTCATTTGATAGAGGTAAAAATCTCCATCCTAAATAAATTGAGCATGACCAAATGCACTATTTAAATGCCATCTGTTGAGAATGAACGACCAAATGGTGACTTATATTTAATGTTTCCCAGAGCTGTTGTTTATTTCAAAATAAGAAAAAATAGAAACTTGGTACTTAAAACTTCAAAAAGGGAATTAGAACATGACTCCTAATTTCATGTAATCAGTAGTACTTTTTTTTTTCTAGAGGAGTGACACAAAGAGAATACATTTGTTTTTCTGGAATTTGAATTTTTTGAGGTATCCCAATATATTTTTAGCAAGGAAGATCAGGCACCCTTTTTTTTTTTTTTAAGAGTTGCATTCTTGGAGGCAATGTGTTCGGAACCATGTGCTAACTGACAGAGATCAAAGAAGCAAAGGCATAGCGCCAATATCATCCATCAACTCTCTTTTGGACATGACTTTTTTTCTTCTATTGACATCCTCTTTTTTTCTTTCTTTTCCTGTTTCCCCCTTCTCTCTCTCTCCCTGTCCCTTCCAATTCAGAAGACTGATTGTTTTTGTCAGAGTAATCACTTTTGCCCTTCCAGAAAGTCATGAAAACCAAGCTATTCTGGTGGGCTTTGGGTAATTGAATTCATCACTGTAAATTAGATTGTTAATTGTATATTATTGAATAATTATTATACAGTTGCTGCTGGTTTTGGTGGTATTATTAAATTATGGCACTAGAAGTGTGGTTGGTTAGGCAATTTGTAGCAATATTTTTGTCAGGAACCTTCTTTCAGTATTATACTGTTTACTATGAACATTTTGGTCATAGTTTTCATAAGCTTCCATGATTTGAATGCATTTGGGAGCATACAAATTTAGTGTAGCAAATTAAATTAACCTTTTGCTTAAAGGGCTTTTGAAATTCGGCTGAAAGCCACAGGTTGCTCATCTCCAAACTAGGACAAGATGTATTGAGGTTGTATCCCCAATCCAGGATTATGTAAATGTATACTTGGGGGCAAGACCTACTGAAATCAAAGTTTCATATTTCTGAAAGTATATATATAGAATTATGGTAATAAATTAATGTCATTTCAAAATCCATTCAAAATAGTAATAATTAAGTTAGGTCGTGAATAAGTGATTTTGACGCTATCTAAATGCAACTGATTTACTATGGACTCACAATTAACTCCATGGTTTCTGTTAAATGAAGTATAGTGAGAACATGAACTACATAAAATAAATATATAAAACAGGTTTGAGCAATTTACAGACTTTAGCTTATTCGTGTAACCTCAATCTAATTTTAACAGCCTTTTTGCAAAAAAAAAAAAAAAAAAGTCGCCTTCTACCAAGAGAGATCTATCACTTCTAGCTGTCTGCCCGGCAGGAAAAAAAATAGAGTGAGCAACTGATGGCAGAAAAAAAACAGAAGAGCAAAGAAAGAGTGAGAGAGAAAAGAGTTGGTCCATCCATTCACTTTTGACCACTGACTCACTCTCTTGCCTTCAGCCCTAGTTTTAGTGGATTATGCTGAAGAGAATAATTTTCGATTAAGATAGGGATAAGATTTTAATCTTAAGCAATTTGAATGTCACTAAAGGTATTTAGGGAGAGCCAATTTAGTGTAGTGATTAAGGATCTAGGCTAGAAACAAGGAAACTGAGTTTTAGTCCCACTTTGGGACAAAACCAGTTGGGGTACCTTGAACCAGTTTGTTCTCTCAGTCCTGGGAAGAAGGCAGTAGTAAATCTTTTCTGAAATCTTGCCTATATAGAACTAGGAAAATAGTCCGGGCAATGGCCAGGAGTTAACGCTGACTGAAAGGCACACATGTGCACATACAAAGGTACATATAAGAGGCTGTGATGTATAGTACATTAAACAAAATATATGATACAACTGAGACTTCACTCTGCTCTGTTCTTGAACTCTGCATATATCACAAATTAAGTATAGCAAGAGAGTGATTCTTTATTTTGCTTTGTAGAATTGGAGGTCCTGCTTCAATGCAGTTTATCGAATATGTTTTTATCTTATATTACTATCATTTGTAAGAGGTAGGCAAAATTTCAAAAACAACCTGACTTAAAATTTAACTGTAATTTATCCTGAATTATTTAAGTGTGAATTTATGCAAGAAAAAAAATTAAGGTATTTTGTGTTTATGGAGAATTTGTTAAATTCCAGTTTTTCTATTCTCGTCATTCGGTTTGATTTATAGATTTGTGTTTTTTAGAGTGTGCCAGCAAACAAAAAAATCAAATAAATGCAGCTTGTGAAATGACTTTTACTATGGTCAAGTAAATGAAGATTTTATCCATGCATAATTAAAATGCCTCATTAACAGTGTGCATAGTCTGATTTATAGCTCTTAACAAAGTCTCTAGAGGAACCTCTGAATTTAATGTAAATATCCTCCTATATTCTCTATTTTGTTTCCATAGATCATTAAGGACCAAAAACTAATGGTAATCGTTGGAGGAATGCTACTGATAGATCTTTGCATCTTGATTTGTTGGCAAGTTGTTGATCCCTTGAGGAGAACAGTAGAAAAGTACAACATGGAGGTCTGTCATTTCAGCTATTTTATATTAATGGTTTTCCAGTTAGTTGTTTAAGGTTGTAATGCAAAATAAAATATAAATATATCCAAAATGATAGGTATATATATTTTAGTGGATACATATATCACAAATAGAATGTATACGTGTGCGTGTGTATCTCACATTACACAAATGGAATCCAGCATCTCTACCATGCTAAGAGGTTTTAGATGCAGAAATATTGTAAACACAAGGGAGTTGTCTGCTAAAAGTCTATAAGAGATGGTGTTGCAATAAATAATAGATTTTCGGACTCCATTAGCAGATTCATGAGGAACTAATGCAAGCTACATATAAAATAAAAGCATAATATGAAGTTCCAACGATCACTTTATCAAAACTAAGCTTCCATTTCTACTGTTGCTATTGAGGTACTGTAATATCACTGTCTATTACTTTGCTCAAATTAGTTGATCAGTCCAATTTTGGTATCATTTTAAAAAGAGTCACCCAGGAAATATAAGTCAAGGGTGAGATATTCAATAGTATATTGTTTATTATCAGATTTGCCAGTTGTGTGGCAACATTTTCTTGAAGGGAAGTAAATTTTCTTTAAAATGCAGTAAATTAATAGTGAAAAATTTCTTTGCCTACAAATTTCTTTGACTTGCAAAAATGGGACTTGCATTGAAATAAAATATATGAAAAAAATAATTTAAAATGTAATTTCTGTTTTATATTACATTTACCTATATTTGCTGGAGGACCAGTTGGTCAAAGTGCTGGATTAAGGCTAGGGAAACCTGAGTGTCTCATACTTGCATAAGCATACAAGCCAACTTGATGACTTTGATCCAGTTGCTTTCAGCACTATAAAGAAGGCAGTGCCAACACACTTCTGAAAATGTTGTCAAGAAAACTGTAGGGACTTGCCCATGTAGTCACCAAGAATCAAGACTGACTTTAATAAAAGGTGAACAATTTATGCAGTCTTTATTTTTTATTTATTTTATTTATTTGAATTTATTCTTTACTCAACTCCAGGGAGCTTTGAATAAAAATTGACTTGATGGCCCAAATAACACCCCCCCATCACAATCCTGTGTAGTACATTTGATTTATAAGCAAAAACACATTGAACCAACAGAATTGAATAACCTATATACATTATGAAACCTTCAAATATTTTTTGTGAGTAAATATGGCTTTTTTAATGTTTTTAGGAGACAGTTGCAATTTTCTGACAAGTCATATTGTTGATTTAAAACTGTAAGATATGAAAAAGGAGGTATCTAGATTTGAAAAGGAAGTTAGATACTTGTTATGAATTACATTGTTTCTGCTATATTTTGTTAATGGTCACCACAGATCTTTTTGTAAAACAGAGGTGGCAAGTCACTGTAGTACTTGTGGGACACTTCTCTAGGTATTGATTAGGTGGCCCTTTCTGAAATAAATTGGCTTCCCAAGAGATTATCGGCTCTGGCCTAATTGCATATCTTCAAACATTAAAAACTATATATATATATATATATATATATATATATATATATATATATATATATATATATATATATTCATGGAGCTACACCCCCCCCCTCCACATACACACACACAAACGCACACACATGCACATACACACAGGGTATATCAAAAGTCAGACTCCATAGATAAATTATTATATAATATTACATTGTTGGGATTGGTTGGCAGTTCTTCAAAACATTCCCTTAGTTGTTTGACACATGATTTTTGAATTTTTAAAAATTCAAAATAAAATAAACAAAATAAAACATTGTGATTTATCTATGGGAAATCGGAGGAAGATAGCACAACCAAAAAGTAATATGCTATGAATATAAAACATTGTATAGCGAGCTTCTGGCAGATACAATATCTTGGAAAAGTAGAGCTACCCAGATATTAGACAATTTATGACTAAACAAAATTGACTTACTTGTGTTCAGTGTTGAACATTTTGTTAATAATTCCATTTATTTTTATCTATGGCTTACTTTTATCAGCATACAACCTTCAGCATGCCCACATAAAATGTTTTCTAATTTAGGCCTATTCACGTGCTCCAAAGCAACATGCAATAAACTTCCTTTCTCATATTCATGTATTTCTCTATTTTTAGTAATTTTATTATGTTTATAAGGATATAAATACAAAAGAAAATGAAGTAGTGGGAAAATGGGGGAAGAAAAAGGGAAGGGAAAAATGTGTATGGTAAAGAGGGAAAAGAAAGAAAAGCACTAACTCCAAATCATTATAGCACAGTAGAATAGGATAATAACATTATAGCCTCAATTTTTTACTTTTATGTGCTAATATATACTAGCCATTTCTATAACAACAAGCCTACCTAATTAGCAAAACCCAAAGTCAGTTTCAGTTTTTTCCCATCTCAAGCACAATTTCAGAAGCAGTTTCTTTTCTTTGATTAAGGACATTCACACATTTTTCAATAACCAACCAAAGAGCAAAGCCTGATGCATTTCCCAAAGTTTCACAATTGTCTACTATTTGCATCTTTATAATCAGAATTTTAGCTTTTAGCTTGTTTAGCCATTACTTTCTCCCAAAACTTGATATGTTCAGGACATTATGGAAACATGTTTTAAAGAAGCATTATTCTTATCTCCAACAAAATGCTGTTTTTGACAGTCCTTTTCTATGCAAACATAATGGAGTCAATAAGTTCTAAATAATATTTTTTGCAGTTTAAGTCATAATTTGAAGTCCATTCGTATTTTCAATTTCCGGCAAAAACTTCCCCACAGAGAGCAATGGGTTTACTTAATGATTGTGGCGTTCGCTTAACAACTGCTGCAAAATAAGGTCATAAAATCGGGTCTGGTCATGTGGTAACCAGTTTTACGACTATCACAACTTATAACTGTAATTGTGGGCTCAGTTATGATCATAACTTGAGGATTACCTATACTCATCTCATACACCATTCCTATCCTTTCATCCATGTCTATCATCTGATCATCACACTGAGTTGTATAATTTTTCATTTTACTTCTATGCTTTATTTATCCAACTTATTTTATAAATATTATATTTTCCCCTCTCTTTTAATTCCACAAATATCCTACCTCCTCTTCTCTTCTCTCCTCATATTATTGAAAGGGACCTAGTGAAGCTCTCTGTTCAGTTCTGGATTTGCTAGAACATTTCTGACTGAGAGACTGTCCAGCCTCTGTTTGAAGGTTTCTAATGAGAGAGAATTCAACACATCATGTAGCAACCTATTTCATGCAGTTTCACACAATCAGGAAATTCCTATCCTGCACCTCCTTCCTTGTTCTTTTAACCCATGGACTTGGGTCCTGCATTCTTGATCAACAGATAATATTCTGCTTTGTCTTTTGAGTGACAGCACTTTAGCTATTTGAAGATTTATAATATCTTCAATAAATCTTTTTTTTTTTTTTTGTAGCTTAAACAATACTCAACTTCTTTAACTATCCTTCATGGGGACAGTTTGTTTCCACACCTTCACCATTTTGGTAGCTCTCTGAAATTGCTCCAATTTGCACTGTCCTTTTTGAACTATGATGCTCAGAACTTAGCAAGATATTCCAACATGGTCTGATCACAGGCAAATAAAATATAAAAATTATTTCCTGTTATGTAGCTTCTAACTCCTTTTAATATACCCCATTAATGGTCCCTCTTAGAAACCTCAGCTCATTTTGAGATTTAGTCTTTCCTTCCTTCCTTCCTTCCTTCCTTCCTTCCTTCCTTCCTTCCTTCCTTCCTTCCTTCCTTCCTTCCTTCCTTCCTCCCTCCCTCCCTCCCTCCCTCCCTCCCTCCCTCCCTCCCTCCCTCTTATTCATTCACATGTTTTATTGTACATTCCTCTTACGTTCCCGGTTACAGTCTTATAACTATGATTGTCAAAATATGGTTCCATGAATATTGGTTTTATTAAAATAATGCTTTTAGTAACCTTTTTTTTTTAAAAAAAAGAGTAGACTAAGTCATCAGCTTTAGTCATATTTGCACCATATATCAGCATTCCTGGCTAGTGATAAAGATAATACTTGTTCTGATAATACAGTACAGTTCTGGCATCTTTTTAGTCAGATTCTACAAGTATAATCAAAGCCCAGTTTTATAGCAAGCATGCTTTTCCCCCCCCCCCCTTCTCCTGCAAGCTAGGAACTCTGATTTAAAGCACTCAGCAAACCATCACATCCAACCAAGTAGGAGCTACACACAAAGTGCTATCGCTACACTCAGTATACTTTTATATAGCAGTTATCTAAATACACCATACAGAAATAGACATTTTAGTTTTATTTTTTTATATGCTGCCATCAAAGCTAAATTTCCCAACTGGCTTATATTTTTCCTTCTTGTTTAGCTTTTTGTAAATTGAACTGCACTACAAAATTTAGGGAAATATTAACATTGAAATATACTGTACTTCTGTTTGCTCACGAGATAGGGAAATGCAATTATGTGTGCATGAAAATCAAAGCTGTACTCTCTTCTGTCACTCCAGTTGATGTTCAGTGGTCACCAGATGCTTATACTGATTTAACTGGGTTGTGATTCACTAATCTCTTCCGTTCACTAAAGGGAGATGAGGCTTCTTTTTAATGTCCAAAAGCAATTAGTCTCTTATTTAATCTCTTTCACTGTACAACTATGAGATGAATTGGTGCACAAATAAAATGTTAGAGACAGGAACAGTACTCCCATTAAAAAACGATAATGCTGCAAATCATGAACCTTATAAAATATTTTGTATAATATTTAACTACCAAGGTTTTCTATATACCTGGTAGATTTGGGAAGAGGGAGAAGAGGGACAATGGCTGCAATGAGAAAAAGGTATCATTACTATTCTCTTTATTAAATAAGATATTGACTTTTTAAAAGTTTAGTATTTATATCAATCTCACCTTCCAAAATTGATGGAGAAGAGAATTGTGGGTGGAAGGGAGGGAGGGAGGGAGGGAAAGAAAGAAAAAGAAAGAAAGAAAGAAAGAAAGAAAGAAAGA